ACATCCAGTGGTCGAGTCACCTTGAATACTTAAAGAAAATGGTTTTCTTACAAGCCTCCGTGGAAAACAGTAAACATTGATTTGTTTTTATGAAACATTTGCACGTTATACTTTGAAACGTGACGTTTCAACAATGCTGTGGTTCATGTGTGGTTCAGTTTATGCACAAAAAACACTTGGTTATTGTCAGGACAATTACCTGGTAGTTACGTTATGGGTCACTGAAACACACCAGTGTTTGGGGGCTGATTAGCCGCTGGAAACACAGCAACAGGTCCCAACAAATCACTTGGGATGCACGATATATCCAATACTGTATATGTCGCAACTTATTTGGCTGATAACAGATAAAGCTATCGACATGAATCCACTTCTTTCCCACCTATTTTTTGTGATTATTCAGTCTCTTCTGTAGTGGAATTAACATCATATTATAAATACATACTTTCATCATGACGACCCACCAGCAGATGGAGACCTCAAGTACAATACTTCTCAATAATATAATATTAATTAATTGTGCAAAATAAGAAAGAGCGTGTTGAATGATTCTGATTTCATTTTAAAGCCAGTAATGGCCAATATTGATGATTAGCGTGGATCCTGAAAAATCACCCACATTTAGTGTCTGAAAACTCGCTGGAAACACAGCCACAGGTCCCTAAAAATACCCACATATGGGGACTGAAAAGCTGCAGGGAACACAGCAACATGTCCCAAAAAACACCACCCACATTTAATGCCTGAAAAAGCTACAAAAAAATAGCCATGGTTCCCTAAAAAACACTCAGGTGTAATGCTGTAAATAGCCGCAGGCAACACAGCAACATGTCTTGAAAAAACACATTCATTGCCTACAAACAGCAGAAAAATAACCAGCCATGGTTCCCTAAAGAACGCCCACTGTTGGGGCCAACACGCTGCAGGAAACACAGCTTCAGATCCCTAAAATTCACCCATGTTTGGGGTCTAAGAAGCCACCTGCCAACAGCCGTGGGTGCTTAAAAAGCATGCAGGTATGACACATACAAGCTGCAGGAAAAACAACGACGACTCATTAAATCTCAGCTGGTTTTGTTGTGTGTTGGTCTCAAACAGTGGTCTGCAGCTCAGCAGGTGTCTTAGTGACACACCATCCACCTTCCCTTCCACCTCCACATGACAGTCACCTCATTTACTACGGCACAATAGAAATATTGATGTAGTACATATGAAACATACAAATGTAATATATCAGTGGTTTGCAGAGATGTACAGCGCCCAACATTTGGCACCAGAGAACAAAGTGTGTCGTCACCCATTCATTTCCTCGCAGTACCCAAATGTGACTGTGTGGCATCCTCAGGGATCACTGCCAGTCTTGCTGCGTCAGTTTCCAAATAGAAGAAGTCGACTTTGAACCTTTTTTAAGTGTCAGGCACAGAAATTCAAAGGTTTCTGGTTTTGTGCCAAAAGTCGTGGACCTGAGAACGAGACAAAAAAAGAGCTGAGACAAACAATCTGTGTTCTCAGCTTCTGTCGCTGCAGCTCTTTCTACATCTCTCACAACATTTATCACTGTTATAAACCCTTTTCACACGTCTGTTATCTTCTTCTGTCGTCTTCTCTCCTGCTGCGTCTGTCTTCTTCATCACTGACTCCCACCACCACCACCGCCTCGCCTCCTCCCTCTCTCCTCTCCCCTCTCTCTCCTCTCTCTTCCCTCTCTCTTCTCTCCTCTCTCCTCTCTCCTCTCCCCTCTCTCTCCTCTCTCTTCCCTCTCTCCTCTCTCCTCTCCCCTCTCTCTCCTCTCTGTGTGCCAGTGGGAATCCCGGCTGTGACGACAGAAGCTGATGCTGCAGTAAAGTCCTGACTCTGCTGCTGAGGCTTTGATTCGGATGCTGTGGCGCCCTTGATGTGTCAAACAATTAACAGAAAGCTGCAGAGAGAGATAGAGGGGGCGGAGCCAGTGGGGAAAAGATGGAGGATCTTCAGATTATATCCTGGATCGAGTCTTTTCCCGTCTTTTCTGGGGCAAAGGCGACGCTCCATGATATTTAGTTTCTTGCCAGAGTTTGCTTTGATTTTGATCTTTTCTTCCCAAATATGAAACATGTGTTCAGCCTCTCCCTTTCTCAGCTGTGACCTCCCGTCATGCTGCGTTACGAGGACCAAATCTCCCGAGTGGAAACGTCAGCACAACATTAGCAGCTGACCTTCTCTCCTCACACGTGCAGATATGCAGAGACTCGGCCAAGCACGAGGAAATGTTGCAGCGTGCATATTGTATTTAAAAAACAAACATTTAGGCAGAGCAAGGAAACAAGGTGCATTAATGCCTTCACTCTGAGGTATGTCTGTGGCTGTCTATGTCTGCATCATCTATGAACATCTGTTGTGACTTTGTGCTATTTAAACATCTGCAGAGGGTCTTGGACACTGAGAGTATTATGTGCTCTCTGCACATAGACACACACACACACACACACACACACACACTGTCCAGCATACAAGCCACAGTGACACTGATGCAGCCAGCACCACTGCAGGTACATCATGCTGCAGCTACAGCTTTAAAATACACTTAATATTATATTCACTTCCCTCAGGGAGACGTGTGGCTAAAGAATTATCGAATCTTGCCTCCTGCTGGTAATTGAAGACATGACAGTTCAAACTGCAGACATTTGAATCATCTGCTGTCTGTGCAGATATCATAATGCTCTGTGTTGCAGGTATAAAACATGCAGGACTGTGAGGTCGAGAGGAAGTCAGTGAGTTTTTATCGTCTGCCGTCTGGTTGGAGGAAAAGTCACTTTAGCAGCTGTTTAGCTGGTGTTAAAGCCTTGGGTGTGTGTGTATGTGTGTGTGTGTGTGTGTGTGTGCGCACCTGTGTGCAATCTAAACAACTGTCATGGTGTAAAGAAAAAGCATTGTGAGCATGTCTTTGTGTTTGTCAGAGTGTGAGAAAGGTGTTGATAAATTGCTAACCTGCTCATTAACGTGTGTGTGTGTGTGTGTGTGTGTGTGTGTGTGTGTGTGTCTGTGTGTGTGTCAGGATCATTATACCCAGTAGTTGAATTCACTGAGCCAGTTAATCTTGCTCACACGTCCTTGTTGTCAGAGAGGAAATGAATCCAGACACCGTCAGTGATTTAGTTCAAACCTCAGAGAGGAGAAATCCTGGATTTGTACACAATGTGTCAGAAATAAATTAGGTTAAATCAACATGTGGAGACGGAGCTGCTGTGGCTGTGCTCACAGAAACACTGTGATTCTGCTAAAGCTACACACACACACACACACACACACACACACACACACACACACAGCCGCACAGACACACACACACAGCCGCACAGACACGATTAAATCCCTTCTATCAGTCTATCACACATGTCGGTCTGTACACCACTTTGGTTTAGACTTAAATATCTCAACAACTGCTGGACGTGTTGCCGTGAACATGTGTACAGATACTCATGTTACCCAGACAGTCATCGTCCCCTTGGGATTGATTAACTTTGATTAATGCTTATTACCAATTGGTTGTTTTCACCTTGTGAGTGTGCTGTCACAAAATTTCACAGGTGTGTAGTTGAGATCAAAATGAAGGCCGCGTTTAAAGATGGTAGAATGGCCAGTAGTAAATGAACTCTTGTGTAGTGCCTTCCTATTGACCACTACGAGTCACGTTCACACACATTCACACACAGTCACACACACATTCACACACTGGTGGCCAAGGCTCCCGTACAAGCTGCCACTGATGGCACAGTGAATGAGGGCAATATGGGGTTCAGTATCTTGCCCAAGGACACTCCTACCTGCAGGCTGGAGGAGCCGGGGATCGAACCGCTGATCGACTTGACCGACTTGCTCCACTTCCTTAACCTGAGCTGGTTTGAGCCAGGTGGCTGAAGGTAGGGAGGCAGTAGGTACAGTAAGAGGCCACTCTCCTCTCACTTTACGCCCCTGGCTCACCACACGTTACAGGTGTGTAGTTGAGATCACAAAGTCAAGTTCAAACTTTGATGTTCATTTCCTGTGTGAAACCAAAAGTCACTGGAGTTATTTTTATAACAAAGCAGTGTGCTACTATTTGTAGTGACGTTTGTCACATGATGTTAGAAACAACCATGCTCATGTTTTCTGTTTTTGTTGTCTAAACTTCAGGGATTAGATGCAAATTCAAGGTGTTTTACCTGCGTCATAAGTTTATTTTGAAAGAGACTGTGAAAACACAAGAGTGTTTTAAAAGACACGACACATCTAACACATGTAATGTGACACTGACACACACACCTGCAACACCTGAAACAAACTTTCAGCTGTCTGTAAGACTGTTTAACACACTGTATATTCGTCTGAGGGCTTTTAGCATCACACTGACACAGTGCACCCTGTTTGTTGTTTGTGTTAGCTCCACATTGTCCTGAAGGAAAACACATTCAGGATCTGAGTCAGTTTATACTAACAAGAAGCACCAGGTTTGATCAATATGTTATTTTGATCATAATAAACTGAATCCAGTCATTTTTAGTGGAATATTCCTTTAAATGAGCACACACACACACACACACACACACACACACACACACACACACACAGTTGTTGTTGTTGTTTATGTGTAAAAGACAGAAGGTCCAGTGAAGCAGCTGCATCCTCAGGCTCACGACCAGGAGTGCATTATCAGACAGAGCCTCTGGGCACAGACACGCAGAAGCCTGTGAGTGTTGGCCGTGTTTAAAAGCTCAGAATGAAACCACGACTTTTATATCTTGTGTTTTAAACCTGTATCTATGAACCAGTTGTTCTGCAGTGCAAGCTGTGGACACAAGTGAGACAGTAACTGGTGGGTGATGAGAGAAAGAGTGAAAGGACCAGATAGTCAGGTCTCATTCTTCAGGCCACCCTCCCTCCTCACGCCCTCCTCCTCCTCCTCCTCCTCCTCCTCCTCCTCCCTCCTCTGTCACTCCACTTTCCCCCATTACTGTGACTCGGCTCCTGCTTGACAACAGGCGGTGTCCCTCCTGTGAGCAGAGGGCATGTGGAAGAGAAAGCTGCGGATCAGCAGGACTAGATCCTTACCCAGGACCAGCACGGCTCTGTAAGTCCAGGGTGAACCTCACTTATAGTAAAGTGGGTTTGTGTGAGGACACAGTCACAAGGTGTGTGTGTGTGTGTGTGTGTGTGTGTGTGTGCAGGAGGGGAGGTGATGTGTTGTCAGAAAGGACAGAGCTGTTTGATTTTAGCGTCTTTAAAAATGTCCATAAACAAGTTTGTGCGCTCCAGCTGTGGGTTTTACAGATGCTCTGACACCATTTGTCTTTCCTGACTGTGACACCTGAACTTCTGTATGAGCTGATATCAAGAACAGCTGTGATGTCACAGCGTTAGAAAAACTAACAGCTCACCCTGTTTGGATGTAAAGTGATTCTGTGGCTCGGTTTCAACTGAAACACAAGTACAGAGACTGAACGCCACAAAATGACCACACGGCCAGCGTCTTGCTGAAGTTACACAGTCAACCAGAAATCAATTTTTCTTGCTGCTTTAAGAAAGTAGTTGCTCGTGGCTGCACAGTGCGACCAGGCTGCCATTTTAAAGCAGTGAAGAAGAAAACATTTCTGCTTTATTTGTGCATCAAACGACTTTAAAGTTTATTAAGAGATCTTGTGTCGAACACGTTCTCACTTCGACCTCGTTACATATCGATGTTTGGTCATTGGCTCTCCATGTCCAGATGCACTTCTGTTTTCACAGGAAATTTACCGTTTACATTCATTCTCTTTCAAAATAAAAGCACTACGTCGATACAACACCGCGAACGCAGGTGGTTGGGTTTTGGAAGAAAGAACAAGGTTTGTCTTTAGAATCTTACGGGACGTAAACACCTCTCTCCTGAGTGAAAGTCAGTGTTTGTTGGACCCATCCATCCATGACCCCTGCTGCCCGTCCTACTGGGACTTTCGCCGCCTTAACTTTAGTTCTTGTCCTGCTGCGTTTCCCCTGACACAGCCGAGTGCCGTCAAACTCTAACAGCGACTAACGTTAAACGATGGCTTTTTTCGTCAGTATCTGATGCTGCAAGTCACTGCCCAAGCACCAGTTTTCGGCAACTTCGGAGTGAGACATGCTATCAGAACAGTGCATAGACTCACATACCCAGCGATATCTGATCCAGCATCGTAGACAGTAGCGGAGTCTTTTCCAACACCAGTGTTGGTTTCAAAACAATAAACAAAACAAATTGTATTTGTTTGAAACACTTCCTCAAAGACACCTGACATAAAGGGTTTAAGAGTTGTAACTAATGACTGATAATTGATTAACTCATGCTCAACAGGTCAGTTATGAGTCATTGATAAGGAAACTTAATGGTTAAGGGTCCCAGGTTTCCCACCCTCAATAAAACTCTGTAAATGTAACGCTGTGGTAACACGTCTACTGTCACGTGTTCACAGCTTCACAAAGAGCAACACTTGGAAATAATCTTTAGTTCACATTCAGACTCAGTTCAATAGAATTATTTAAGCTGTCTGTGTTTTCATTTAACGTTTCTTAAATTACAGAATTAGCCAAAAAATGACCCGGACATCACAGACCACATGTTGATAAAAAATATATAGTTATGCATAATTCCTAAAATAATGATACGACTGAATCATAAGTTCAACTTGAGTGTGTCTTGGTGTTACTGACATGATGGCAAAACATGTGTTTGCCACAAAGTGCTTTTGACATGAAACTCACCAGACTGATCAGTAAATCAGACACTGATGGTGCATCTGGCAGAAATATTTCAAATGGGGCACATTATTGTAAAAACACTGTATTAACTGAGCTGTAGAGTATAGTTATGATTATTAATGAAGCCATTAGTTTGAACATAGTCGCTCTTTATGAAGAGACTTTGTCACTGAGCTGCTCTGATCACATTGCACATTATTTAAGAAGAAGGTTTTGTCTTTACGTGCATCGTGTGATGATCAACCAGTAAAGTGAAAACCAGTTGGCTGTCGTGTCAGTTCAGACCCATGTGACCTATGACACAACTCTGTCTTCCTGTTTCACTACAAGTGTGTATCTGCAGGGCTGAAGAGGATCAGCTCAGGTGGTTCTTACCTGTTTATCACTTCCAATGTTTTCAAGGCTTTTTGTGTCAAAACAATCAAAACCTACAAAGATTAAATGGAGCTACTGACGGAGCGTCAGAGGGCGTGGTCAGACAATATTAGGTGGGTCAACAGGCTGCAGGCCGAAGAGCTTCCAGCTGTTGGGTGTGAACTGGTTATAAATCACTGCACAGGGATCAGTGATGGAATACAGCCAGGTACATTTACTCAGGTGTTGTATTTAAGTACACACTGTAGGTATGTGTACTGGGGGGGGGCTCTAAAATAATATCACGATATTTTGACGACACCAACCCGTGTGTGAGAGAGAGGATGTTTGCCACCCTACATGAGTCTTTGCCTTTGTGACCGTGCTAGCTGTTGTCAAATATACTGTAGGCACGACCCCTGAATTAATTCATTTTTTTAAAAGGTAAATATAAAATTATTAATACAATGAATGTTTAAAAAAAACAACAAAACTTAAATCATGAAATTTAAATAAATGTTTTTTTTAAATATATTTTTTATTTTAAATAAAATAGAAAAAGATGGCGGTCAGTAGTGAAGCAGGAGACTCTGTATGAGTGAGAGGGCTCATTTCTCTGTAGAGTTTGACTTTTGTTTTCTGCACCATGTCACATCATTGCTGTGTTTGCTATTGTGTTCTCCAAAGGCCACGACACTCCAGGCAACGTTTTCCTCCAGAGAGCATCTTGTACATTATTAAGCTTTAGTTCCCCGAAGCCGCGTGTGTTGTAACGTCCACATTGATTCAGGTCAAGCTGTCGATCTCCAGCGCTGCCTTCACACCTCCTGAAGGTCTGACACAATATCTGTGTTGTTTGTGGCCTGAAGGAACTGAAGATCTAATAACTCACAGAGAAATGGAACAAAAATGTCTCTTCAGGTGCTGGAGCGCACATGATATTATTACACAACAGATTATAAGATACAGGGTATATATATA